TAAAGAAAAAGGTAGATTAAATCTTTCTTTTAGCCCATCAAACATCATGAGGGAGCCCCCAACACAGAGATGGTCAAGTGGCGTAACGCCCCTGGAAGCCCAGAGAAAAGGGTCAGGGATGAGATAGAATTCAGGCAGTCTAGGGTTAAACCATAGAGGGAGTGTGTGGGAACCAAATATTAGAAGGCGAATGCTTGAAAAAGAGTAACTGCCCGGCCTTAAGCACTGCCCTCATAGACTGCAACAAGTCAGGGAAGGGGGCACATATGCCCCTATATAATAGATTACACAGAGTTTTGTAGTAGTCCAAACATGCTGCCCCCAACACCACTGCTGCATCGGTGTCATCTGACAGGATCCAGTTATGTGCATTGGTCAATAGGGCTGCTATGAAATAAGTGTAAAAATCAAAGCACGCTAGCCTGCCATGCGTTGGGGGTCTGCATAGGATTGCTCTGCTAAATCTGGGGGTTTGGGAATTCCACAAAAAAAGAGGAGACCAAACTAATAGTCAAAAAAAGGACTTCGGTATCCACATTGGGGAATGTCTAAGGAGATGAAGGAAAACAGTATTTTCATCTTCAACAAGTTAATTCCTCCAATAAATGTCCACAGTAAATTGTCCCATGCCTTCACCCTCTGTTTACAGGTATATAAGAGGGGCAGAAAATTAAATATACAGACGTCGGTCACATTGAGCGAGCTTTAAATGATTCTGTCCAGGTTAGGAGAAATGGATCCACAACCTGCCTGGCCCCAGGGTCAGCCAGCAAAATTTGGGATTTCCTTCAATTGATCCGTAAGCCAGAAAAGTGGGAAAGCAGTCTCAAGGCCTCTTTCAACGAGGGGCCGGGATCCTTTATGTTAATCTTTAAGCTCTCTTTGCTAGAATACAGAGACAGCTGCAGTTTATCCTGGAGTGTGCAGAACAATACCTACAAATAAGGCTCCATGCAGAACGGACTCTGGACTTTGTAAAAACAAGACTTATACACAGATAGGTAGGCACCAGGGGCGAACTGACAACTCATGGGGCCCCCGGGCAATAGGGGATCATGGGGCCCCTGTGTCCTTGCCCAAACTCAAAAAAGCCTATGAAAAAGGTACCCTGGGCCCTCGGGCAGTGCCCGAGTTTCCAAATGGTCAGTCCGCCCCTGCTAGGCACACAAAATTTTGAGGCCGATACGAGGATGTCTATTATGGGGAACTGAACATAAAATGTAAAAAATGCTGGCAAGTAGAACTTTATGGCAGAAGAGACTTTTGGGTTGATTTACTAAAACTGGAGAGTGCAAAATCTGGTGCAGCTCTGAATAGAAACCAATCAGCTTCCAGGTTTTTAGTCAGTAAAAGTAAAAGTTAAAAGCTGAGTGGCTACCATGGACAGCTGCACCAGATTTTGCACTCTCCAATTTTAGTAAATCACCCCCTTTGTATGCCTCTCTGACAAAAAAACTTATTTCCTAATGATACTTCACAGGACACAGGGTACTTCATACTCATGACTACTTGGGTTATGCTGCCACCTTCAAGTGAATGGACACTGGCCAAAAAAGAGATTACCCACCCAAACACCCATTTGAGCTCAGCTAAGCCTCAGTTTTTCTGACGATTTATTGCAGTGGGCATTAGTCCTCAATGTCATGGCCTACTCTGCACACCTCTGGTAGGGAAGGGAGAAGCTTTATCAGGATCAGTCCCCTATGGCCATGAGACCAAGAGGGATAGTACCCAGGCTCCACTTTCAAGAGCGGGGATGGTTGTAATGTGGTTCAGTGCTGGATCCTGCAGGCAGCAATCTCTGAGGTACCCAGTAACCTCACGGGCAGGGTTCTATACAGATCCAGGGCAGCGATCCACTTGCTGGGGGTGTCAAGTCCCTGAAGGCTCTGCAGGGCATGCCTGCTTTGAGGGGTGAAGAATGGGCCTTTTGCTCCTGCAGCAAGGAATGGTGAATGTGTTAAATATGGCAGTTCCCTGGTGCTTTGGACTATGAGGGATGGTGATAGTGCAAGAGTGGAGAAACACACGGCCGTAGTGGTGTTCAAAATAGGTGGATCAGGTGTGCATGTATATGATGTCATCTCTTGCATCTACCATTTTCAGTCCCCCTGGTCTGACATGTGATCAGCAGGTCAGAATGTGCATCTACAGCAAAGTACCAGCACAGCTTCAGCACAGTTCCTGCAATAAACCATCAGTGCTCTGCAGTTATTGGGACACTTTATATATGAGCTGACGTGCTACACAGGTGTCTGACAGACACTCCTCTTAGTTGGGTGGCTGCTGCCATTTGGGGTTACAGGTCTTTTGACCCTCAGAAATAGCTGGAGAGAGTTCCTGGAAAGAAGGAAAGCTTTCTCCCAATCTTCAGATTCAATTTGGATTCTTTTTCTCAGATAGTTGTGTATGTAGACCTGCACAGCCAGACATCACACATCTTCATATCACACATCTTCACCAAGACTTGAATTCAGAGTCAGAAATCAGTCCTTGATCTTTGGTTTCGTTGTTTTATTTAGGGGATTTGAACTGGGATAGGGTTAGGGGTGTACATGATGCCCAAGGGAACTTATGAACTGAGAACAACTTCCTGGAACTATTTGCAGCCTCTACTGCAACACAGTCTCTGTTGGAGAGCTAGGCATCGTCTGCTTAATGTACCACCTCAGATCCTAGGTGAACTCTCTTCTTTACCCAGCAATACGGAGGTATCCCTGAACAGGGGATCTGGTTCATGTCAAAAATTAGGGAAAAAGGAAATGGGAAACACTAGGGAATCCATGCACAATGTCTGAAAGTAGAGGTGCTACCAGAATGTCTGGAAGGGTGCTGCCTAAACAAATATCAAAATCAAAAAAGAGGAAGAAAAACGGGTTGCACACCTAAAAGACTAACCTCAAACAAATTTTATTATGCACCATAGACAGATATATGCCATTGGAGACAATCCTGTATGACAGAGAACCCTAAACCAGAGAATGCAAGAGGGGACCTTCAAGAATGGACCAAGGATAATGATGGTCCACTGGGACTACCCTAACCCAACCCTCCAACACCCAACCCCAGACACAACCCACCCCACCCACCCTCTCAACCCAACCCACCCCCACAAGGACCCACAAGACACCCCTCTCCTAGATGGAGGGCCCTCCCGTTCCGCCACCCCCCTCACTAAGGAGAGAGAGGAGCTGAGGTAGATACTACCAGCCCACTGCTAGCCATCGTCTCCTTAATGTACCACCTGAGTCCCTAGGTGAACTCTCTTCTTCACCCAGCAATACGGAGGCATCCCTGACCAGGGGATCCAATTCATGTCACCTCAAGTGCTGGACAGTCACTTGGCTGCTATCAGGCCTATCAGCTGGGCCGGTCCTTCCCTGCCATATAGGTGGTCATCGCTCTGGGGGCCAGCAAGCTCTGTGCTTTCCTCCTTTCCAGCTCCAAGACTGCAGGTAGACCCCATCCCACTGGGCCTCCTCGCAGCCCACTGCCTTCAGCCTCAGTTCCTGACCACAACTTGACCCTCTGACTGTCACACCCAGGCTGATACTCAGCCCTCCTCTCTATCAATTGAACACTAGCTCCCCCTAGCTAACTAGGAGTGAGCTACATTTATATAAAACCTTTATCCCAAAAGAAAGAAAACTGTTGCATCTGATTATAAACTATTAGTTGAATTTCAGCTTCAGTTTGTTAGTGTGTCTAAATCTGCTAGTCCATCTAACACTCCCTGGCCCCCAGACTGACAATACTGCTGTCCAAATCTGTTTCCCTGTGCTCCTCCATCCAGAGTGGGGGCACTTTAATACAGGTGTTTTAATGGACAAAGAAAAAAAAGCAGCCAAAACTTCTAATGATTTATAAGCTGCTATATATGACATTTTTGTCCTATAGCAGAAATATTGCTACAGGGTGGTGCAAAATCATGTATATATTCGTGATTTGCATTTCCAGGTAGAGGTGCATGCATGCCACCCTACACGCGCTTCTATTGGTGGCTAGAGATGTCAATCACTGGGTCCCAGCCGGCGACTCCAGGCTGGCACTCAGCGATCCTTGAGGAAGGCTGACGGGAGAGATCTGTGTGTAAACAACACAGGTCTCTCTCCTGTCAGCATGGACATGCTGCTTTGTATCTCTCTGCACAGCAGGCCTCCCAAGTAAAACAGCACACAGTTAACCCTTTGATGGCCCCACATGTTAACCCTTTCCTGACCAGTTTCATTAGTACAGTGTCAGTGCTTTTTATTAGCTCTAATCACAGTATTAGTGTCATTGGGATATCAGTGGCAGTTAGTTCTCCCAGTGTCAGAATGCCCGCCGCAGTCCCGTTACAAGTCACTGATCGCTGCCATTACTAGTATAAAAAAATAAAAATCCCAGTATCTACACTGCCATTTGTAAACGCTATGACTTTCCCATAAACAAAGTAATTTACACATATTGGGATTTTTTTTAGCAAAGACATGTAGCAGAATACATTTTGGCCTAAATTTATGAAATTTGATTTTGTATTTTTTTTATTGGACATGTTTAATAGCAAAAAGTCAAAAATATTTATTTTTTTTTAATTGTCAGTCTTTGTTTATAGCGCAAAAAATAAAACCGCACAGGCGATCAAATACCGCCGCAAGAAAGCTCTATTTGTAAGGGGGAAAAAAAGGACACAAATTTCATTTGGGTGCAGCATTGCATGCCCACGCAATTGTCAGTTAAATAACTCAGCGCTGTAACGCAAAAAATGGCCTGGTCAGGAAGGGGGTAAATCCTCAGGAGGGCAAGTGGATAATACAGCTTTAGCTTTCCATGCTGTAGACATGAATAAAGTCTATTTCCCCAGCCTGCTGTCTCCACCTCCTGACCTTCCTCTACTCCTCTATGGCCTAACACCATTGGATGACTGTATACTTTCGTAATATCCGCCTTTCCACTTCCGGGGTGATAGGTGAGCGGTGTCACAGTGTCCTCTTGTCACACACGTGGGTCACGGCTGTAGCATGCTGTCTTCCTTGTCTCGCTCCGTGTTCTCTGCTGCCGCCAGGGTGCTGGTCGCTCGGCCGCTGCCATTGCTGAGCAGTCGGGGCTCTGCTGTGTCGGTGTGCCGCTCTCTCTGGATACATGGCGGAGCCGGCAGAGCACTCAGGCCCACCTTCCTGAACGCACACAGAGGCTTCCCGGCGGTGTCGTGTGGCTGCGGCGGATTACATACTGATGGTGAGTGCGGCTCCTCTCCTCCTAGGATCAGCCAGCTCTCCATGTCACTTTTCATAGCTACATTTCATGATTGGGGGGGGACCCCAGAGATAACTGTCAGGTATCGGGGAACCCCTGATACAAGTTACATCTACCATAGTCAATACATTGGATATAGAGTATAGAATGGAGCGTACTTGGCTTGTTTTTACCCGAACATAATACATTTTATCCTCATATAAGAAAATGGATTTTCAGAATGAAAGAAGTAAGCATAATGATCAGACGTTGGAGTGTTCTTTTCACCTTGGGGGGGGGGGGGGGGGGGTTAGCGGAGAAAGGCCCCCCTCTGCTTTGGGGGGGGGTTGCTGAGTGGTGAAGGAGCCCCCTCTGTTATGAGGGGGTGAGTGGTGAAGGAGCCCCCTCTGTTATGGGGGGGGGGGGGGGGTGAGTGGTTGAAGGAGCCCCCCCCTCTGTTATGGGGGGGGGGGTGAGTGGTGAAGGAGCCCCCCCCCCTCTGTTATGGGGGGGGGGGTGAGTGGTGAAGGAGCCCCCCCCTCTGTTATGGGGGGGGGGGGGGGTGAGTGGTGAAGGAGCCCCCCCCTCTGTTATGGGGGGGGGGGTGAGTGGTGAAGGAGCCCCCCCCTCTGTTATGGGGGGGGGGTGAGTGGTGAAGGAGCCCCCCCCTCTGTTATGGGGGGGGGGTGAGTGGTGAAGGAGCCCCCCCCTCTGTTATGGGGGGGGGGTGAGTGGTGAAGGAGCCCCCCCCCTCTGTTATGGGGGGGGGGGGTGAGTGGTGAAGGAGCCCCCCCCTCTGTTATGGGGGGGGGGGTGAGTGGTGAAGGAGCCCCCCCCTCTGTTAGGGGGGGGGGGGGGTGAGTGGTGAAGGAGCCCCCCCCTCTGTTATGGGGGGGGGGGTGAGTGGTGAAGGAGCCCCCCCCTCTGTTATGGGGGGGGGGGGGGGGGGGTGAGTGGTGAAGGAGCCCCCCCCTCTGTTATGGGGGGGGGGGGGGGTGAGTGGTGAAGGAGCCCCCCCCTCTGTTATGGGGGGGGGGGGGGGTGAGTGGTGAAGGAGCCCCCCCCTCTGTTATGGGGGGGGGTGAGTGGTGAAGGAGCCCCCCCCTCTGTTATGGGGGGGGGGGGGAGTGGTGAAGGAGCCCCCCCCTCTGTTATGGGGGGGGGTGAGTGAAGAAAGAGCTCCCTCTACTGTGGGGGGCTGGTGAGTGGAGATAGGGCCCCTCTGCTGTGGGGAGGGGGGATGTTGTTCTACTATTACATTGGAGTTGAGTGGAGAAATGTTCCCTTAACATTGAAGGTGAGCAGTAAAATGCTTCCTCTACTATGAAGGTCAGTAAAGAAATGTTCCCTCTATTATGGGGCTAGTGGAGGGATGTCCCCTCTACACTGGGGGCAAGTGGAGAAATGCCTGTTCTAAATTGGGAGTGCTAGTGGAGAAATGCCCCTCTAAGTTGGTGAGCAGTGGGAGAAGGGACTGAAACATCATCTGTATCAGGAGTTACCTACCTGAGGAGAGAAGGCTGCACTGGTTCCATGCCATTAGTTGCAGGATTTTGCAGGCACTTTTAGGCGGTTGACACTGCTCAAAAAACCTTAGAAACGTCTGGAGGAACCTGAACCCTGGTTGAGAAAGCTTGCTCTAGAGTGGTGAAGTGCCCATTAGCAGTTACAGAATTGGCAGTAGTGACCTCATGACTCTGCAGGAGAGAATGGTGACATTGAGGTCAGAGGTAGTGAGAGCTGTGGGGAATCCAGAAGGTCGATTATAGTGATCAGAGTGGTGGTCAAGGCACAGGCACTCTCAAAGGTGAGTTTTTACTGCCTTTTACAGGTAAGCGTTTTTACAAAATATTTTTGCGCCTGGATCGCTCTGAGCTAAGGAACAGCTTCCCCTATACAATGTACTTTGCTCTTTGCTTACTTCAGAAGTACTCTTGGAATGGTAAAATTAAATATGTCTTGTGTAACTCTTCTTTATTTCAGTCTAGTGTAGCTTTATGTGCTGCTGTATTACATCCTCTATTTTTTTTTTTTTTTAGGAGACAAGGCCTTTGCAGAATTTCTGAGTGATGAAATCAAGGAAGAGAAAAAAATCCAAAAACACAAGGGCCTCCCAAAAATGTCTGGTGGGTGGGATATCGATGTCAACGGAACAGAAGCTAAGCTAACCCGCAAAGTTTCTGGAGAGAAGTATGTGCCACATAATATTTTTATTATTGACCTTTTTCCCATTAAAGCACAATTCTACCTTTGCTGCAAAAGCTCCCAAGACTTCTTCCCTAACTGCCAAAGCTTGGAATGCCCCACCCTGGCGCATATTTTTTGCACTAGAGATGTAAAGCCAGTGGGAGGCCACACCTGGCACAGAGAATTTAGGAAGAACTCCATAGGAAGAACTCCAGGGATTAGATTAGTGTAAAGCAGAATATCACTCCCAAAGGGGGGGGGGGGGGATACCTTTTGTTTATGTCCTCCCTCCCCAATTACAAAATCCTTTTTTTTTCTCTGTTTATTTTTATTTATTTTTTTCCTTCAGCTGCATATTAAAGCTGTAATTCACATACAGTAAGCGGCATCCTCTTCTAGCAGTTGCTCCAGCAATTTCATCTCAGTGCACTAACCATAGAGATCATGATGTCATCTGCTTTTCTTCTCCACCTGACCTTTCAGATTATTTTCTGCTTCTCTGCATTACACTGTTAAAATCTCAAGGGCAGTCTTGTAGAAACAGGGTTAGCAGTGGATGCAGTAACTGGGCTTCTGCTCCTGGGGATCTATTAGGCCTAGCTAGTCATATCTAAATACACTCCTAATATACAAAAGTGCAGCTAGTGGCTCTGTGTCCTGAAGAAATACACGTATGCACAATTCCCCTGTTCAGAGAGAATGTGTATTGCTCATGTTACTGTAACTGGCCAACAGAAGAAGCCTGTATTAAGAATTTACAGAGCACAGGTTTTTTTTCCACCTCTCTATATGTCCAGCTTTATATATGTACCAGAATGAAGTTAATACAGCTCGGTTGTTTTATTTAAAATGGGATCATCTTTATTTGGACCTGCTTTTAACTTATAAGTGCATATTTGAATGTACATGTTCCTTTTTCTATTTGTATGTATTTTAAAACTTTTGTTTATTAACCTTGTAGGATTACTGTGACATTTAATACAAACAACAGCATTCCTCCAACGCTCGATGAAGAGACTCAAGAAGGTCAGAAGGGTGAAGAGGAAGAAGTAAGTTTAAAAATGCTTTTTATTTTCCTTTGGGAGTGGGGGGGTTATATTCCTTTTTTATAATCATGAGAGATACAAGTGGAATGTTTAACGCTGCAGTTTAGTCAAGTAATGTTGCTTCTAAAACTTCAGTTACATCACTTACCTGTAATGAAGTATGTACCACATCGGGCAGACAGTTGGATCCCGTAGAAATCTTCTCTCCTGTGATGACAGGTCATTTTCCTGCTGGTGAATTGAAGGCTCTGAGTGAGATGATAGCTTCAAGTTTTCTTTCAGTTGCAGTGAAACAAAATGCAATGGGGGCAAGCGCCCTCCTCTCCCATTGAGAAAAGCCTATGTATTAATTGCATTGCATATAACCCGATCTGTGAATGGGGCAGAGTCTGATGTATGACAGGATTCTGTCCCCTATTTTACAAATCTTGTTACATGCAGTGCAACCGATGTATGGGCTTTTCTTAGTGGGAGGGTACAGGCTGCTGTCGGATCTTTTTCCCTGCAGCTCATAGAAAATTATAGGATCCAGCTGCCTGAAAGACATAGGACATACTTCATTACAGGTAAGCGATGTGCTGCGGCTATAGGAGCATTTTTATTTTTTTTTTTTTTTCTTAAGCTCCACCTTTTAAAAAGAAATTGCAATGAAATAAAATTACTTTTTTTTTTCTTCCCCTACAGCCTGAACTAGTATCCACACCTAACTTTGTTGTAGAAGTTACAAAACTTGATAGCAACCAGACACTGGTTCTTGACTGCCATTATCCCGAAGATGAGGTAATGATGTGCCAGCTTCCATCACAGAGCTAGCAAAGCCTGGGCATTGGTGTTTTCTTGTTTTCACATGCAAATTAGCATTCAAAAGGATTATCATATTTCTTTATAACATTATAATTAAGCTATAGTAATTTTTTGCCATAGCAATATTTTAAGCAATGAGTTGCAAATAACATATGCACTATGGTTTAGCATTGTACAAAAATGAACAAAATACTCTATCGACTGTGGATATATAAAGACAGTAAACTGTACATGTGCATGCCGTGTTTTTACTCACTCATTAAAGATTCTAGGATTGCTTGTGATAATCTGGTAAGACTTGGGGAGATGTGATTGATAGGAATTTCTAAAAGACAAAAGTCTGTAGCATTAGTTGTAAAGGTCTTCAGACATAATAGAACATTGTTATTGAGGAGAATGAAAATTCTTGGATCAGTAAAATAGAGCAGAGAAGGGAGAACAAACTTTTCTGAAAGCAGCTACTTTACTGTTCATTTTATTAAAAAGAGGAATAAAGCTAAACTGTAAGCAGATGAGCACAATTGAATCCAGTTTTGGATTCCTTAAAAGAGAAGTTCGGGAATTAGAAACCCAAAAAAACACATACTTCCCTAGGTGGATGCAGCATCGATCCAATGCTGCATCTGTCCCTTGAACGGGCAAAAGTTATAAACTTTGTAAAGTTCAGCACAGGCACTAGGCACTGTGGGTTAGAAATTAAACTGTAGCCGTGAACTGTCAGACTTGGATCTGACACGGTTCATGGTTGCAGTCTTATTTCTAACCCACAGTTCATAGTGACTATTCTGGACTTAACAATGTTTTTATAACTTTTGCCCTTACTCATTGTGGAAATGATGGTCCTGTTCAGCATCTATTGATGTCAGTCAGACCTGATGATTCCCAGGCAGAGACTTTACCAGGTTTATAAGTTTTGCCCTTACTTATTGTGGAAATGACAGTCCAGTTCTGTTCAGATATTTCATGTTGATGTCAGTGTGTCATACGTTGGGCCACCCAGCAGCCTACCGCTAGAGACAAATCTCCATCAAGCGGTTGCTGCAGAATGTCCCTTGGCTGCATCTCTTCCCTCTTCCTGGTCTCACAGAAGACTCGGGCAGCAGCAGGAGCTGTTGACTTCAGCTGCTGTCAGTCAAATCTTGTGTGAAGGGAACATGGGCCGTGGCTGTGTTGCATTGTGTGCATGCATGGAAGTATGCAGCCCAGCTTGGGTGTGCACCCATGCATGTTCCCCTATATAGCATGTAACTTACTATGGGGGCACATTCAGGAGAGGAAACAAAAATCCAATAAGCTTCTCTCACTAAGTTAGGATTTAATATCACAACCTGTGGAATCCTTAAACGCTTTATCATTAATCTGAAACCTAAATGTCAAACCCCTTACCACATTTATCCATATGGTGTTTTGAGACCTTTTAGCAAATTTTATTTTTATTTTTTGTTAGTCACTGCATGTATTCACCCATTCTATGCAATTTACTGATGCCACCCTTCTTAGAATGTAACGTATTGCTTTTCCTGGTGTGTTTAAGGTTGGACATGGTGAAGAGGAAGAGAGTGACGTTTTCAATATTCGAGAAGTTAGCTTCCAGCCCACTGGAGAGACTGACTGGAAAGAGAGCAGCTACACTCTTGGCACAGATTCCCTTGACTGGGTTGGTATAAACATTTCACCTGGATTTCAACTTACCTCTAACAATTTTTACATTATCTCAATTAAATGAAATGCCTTAAATGTTCACCAACCTCTTGTCACATGGGTTGCTTGAGTCATATTACAGAACTACAGTATCTCACAGAAGTGAGTACACACCTCGCATTTTTGTAAATATTTTGTTAAATCTTTTCATGTGACAACACTGAAGAAATGGCACTGCTGCAATGTAAAGTAGTGAGTGTACAGCTTGTATAACAGTGTAAATTTGCTGTCCCTTCAAAATAACTCAACACACAGCCATTAATGTCTAAACCGCTGGCAACAAAAGTGAGTACACCCCTAAGTGAAAATATCCAAATTGGACCCAATCTGTCAATTTTGTGTGGCCACCATTATTTTCCAGTACTGCCTTAACCCTCTTGGGCATGGAGTTCACCAGAGCTTCACAGGTTGCCACTGGAGGCCTCTTCCACTCCTGCATGATGACATCACAAAGCTGGTGGATGTTAGAGACCTTGCGCTCCTCCACCTTCCGTTTGAGGATGCCCCACAGATGCTCAATAGGGTTTAGGTCTAGAGACATGCTTGGCCAGCACTCATGCAGCCCCAGACCATGACACTCCCACCATTATGCTTGCCTGTAGGCAAGACACACTTGTCTTTGTACTCCTCACCTGGTTGCTGCCACACACGCTTGACACCATCTGAACCAAGTAAGTTTATCTTGGTCTCATCAGACCACATGGGACATGGTTCCAGTAATCCATCCCAGAAGCTTCCTTCTGGGATGACAGCCATGCAGACCAATTTGATGCAGTGTGCGGCATATGGTCTGAGCACTGACAGGCTGACCTCCCACCCCTTCAACCTCTGCAGCAATGCTGGCAGCACTCATACGTCTGTTTTCCAAAGACCACCTCTGGATATGATGTTTCTTTGGTTGACCTTGGCGAGGCCTGTTCTTGGCCACCGTGCTGCAGCTCAGTTTCAGGGTCTTGGCAATCTTCTTACAGCCTAGGCCATCTTTATGTAGAGCAACAATTCTTTTTTTGTTTTTTTTTTCAGAAAATGGCTAATTTGGTCCAATTTGGACATTTTCATTTAGGGGTGTACTCCCTTTTGGTGCAAGCGGTTTAGACATTAATATATGTGTGTTGAGTTATTTTGAGGGACAGAAAATTTGCACTTTTATACAAGCTGTACACTCACTACTTAACATTGTACCAAAGTGTCATTTCTTCAGTGTTGTCACATGAATAGATATACTAAATATTCACAAAAATGTGAGGGGTGTACTCACTTCTGTGAGATACTGTATATATTACATTAAATTTTTATCCAGAACATTATTTAATAAAATATTTCAGGATCCAGAAGAGAGAAGTTTAATTCTAATTTGGTTAAAAAGAAAAATCTGTCTATGGAAATTTCATACATTCCAAAGGTTTTTAGAAGATTCCTATCTTTATGCCCTACTGAAATAGTCTGTTTCACCAAGGCCTTTCCCAAACTGATATGGGAGGGTCTCTCTTCACTATGATGGTGTAACCTTAGTATGGTTACAAGAAACGCTCCAGTTCCTGCATCCCTCTTAAGTGTCCTCACCAAAAATGGAACTCCTAAAAGTTCAAAATTGTCTTGCATTTCAGTTTAAAGCAATTTTAAAGGTTGTTTATTTTGAAAATAGCAAACATGCTATACTTACCTACTGTGAGCAGTGGTTTGCACAGAGCTGCCTGTATCCTCCTTTTCTTGGGGCTTTTGCTCCTTTCGGGTGCCCCCCACAGCAAGCAGCTTGCTATGGGGTCACCCGCTTCTCCGTGTGTCCATTCACACGCAGAGCTGCGTCTTGGCCCTGCCCCTCCTCATTGGCTGACGGGCTGTAATTGACAGCAGCAGGAACAAATGGCTCCAGATTGCTGTCTCAGCCAATGAGGAGGCAGAGACCCGGGACCACAGAGACTGTTGTTCACATCACATCACTGGATCGCGATGAGGCTCAGGTAAGTATTCAGGGGGCTGGGGGCACTGCTGCACACAAAAGGTTCATGACCTTCATGCATAGAATGCATGAAGGTAAAAAAAATCTGGAGCCTTTTCAACCACTTTAAACTTTAGCAAAAGACAATTAACCAATAGTTTCAAAAGGAAAAGGGGTTGGTCCACTAAAATGTTCAGAACATTGGGAGATTATAAGCTCCCAATATTTGTCAAATGTTCATCAGATATGAATAGAAAAACTAGTGGTTTTCCAACCCCTTGAATTAGGTTTTTATACTAGGCTGTAATACCGTGTCATCATTTCATACACAATTAATTTTTTTGTCTGCTTTAGAGTTATTTGTATCTTGCAACATATGCGTATATATGAATTTTTTTTTTTTCTTTTTGCAGGCCCTTTATGACCACTTGATGGATTTTCTGGCAGACCGTGGAATTGATAACGCCTTTGCTGATGAGCTTGTGGAACTCAGCACTGCTTTAGAACATCAAGAATACATTCATTTCCTTGAGAATCTGAAAAAGTTTGTTAAATGCTAAACATGTTAGGATTTGTTTTCTTATGGTATTACTTGTATGTCATTTTCACAATGAAACTGTATAGGTCCAAGGATTAGTGGTCACAGGAGAAAATCAAAGTAAAGATGGGTACAGGAGCTACCATGGCTGACTTTATTTTTTCTAATTGTGCAAGAACTGCTTCCTGGTCTTTAACTCCCTAGTGTATTACTTATCTGGAACAACAATGCTGGCAGTGAAGTCCTAAATGTGTTAAATCCTGTTGTTTCAGGTTAGTGGTTGGCTAGATAGTAAAGTCAGTTTCTAGTCTCCTATAAGACTATCCATCCAGTTGAAATGTCATGTCTAATTTCTGTTTATCATTTCCTTGGATTAGTTGGCAGAACATTTCTTCTTCCTTTTGACGGTCTATGAAATTACTTGTGGAAATGTATTCTGGGGGATTATGCCTTTTTGAAAAGATAACTAGGTAGTGTGTACCAAAGTGGAAAACAACTCCTACAAGTTTGCAGTTAAAAGCTTTATAATATGACTAAGATTACTGATTATGTTGAAGTGTTCTGTAGAAAATCCTGCTAGTTTTTTTTAAATTTAATTTTGCAATATGTTCTGTCTGCGTTTTGAAAGGGCCTTTTTCTTTATGCCATTCAGAATCTGTACACACCATTTTTTTGTACAAGTCCTATTAAAATGTATCATTCTATTTGATTTGGTGGATTTCTTGATTATATACACTAGGTTACAGTCTGCTTGCACAGACTTGATGGTAAATCGATATGCAAGTAGAAAATGTGTGAGCTCATCTATATCACTGGTCTGTGAGTTGATATTAGGATCATTGATCTATTCTTTATGAATAACATCCTCTTTGAAGGAAAGTTAGGCATTGGATATTCCTACCTGTAATGCCCCACTTACCAGCTATAAACACTGGGCTTTCTGCCTGCACCATTTATCTAAGCGGAGCAGATTGTTCTCCCAATTAACAAAAGAGGAGTAAGCCCCTTAGTTAACTACTGAAGGACCACCCTATAGCAGATATACTGCTGCAGGGCGGCCCCGTGCACAAAATAAAGGTTTTAAATGTCATTTTGCATTTCTGGGTAGGGGGCGTGCAAATGGCAGCACGGGTGTCAATCACCGGGTCCCGCCTGTGATAACCCACCGGCACCCAGTCATTACCGGCGATCACCGACAAGGTGGAGGCTGCTTTGTTTACCAACAATCCTCCTCCCTGTCAGTTTGGGCACAGTGTTCTGGATGGGATGGCTGAGCACAGCCATCCAGAGCAGTGTGCTTACAGTGAAGAACACACTCCCATCACACAGTTAACCCTTTGATTGCCCCTCATGTTAACCCATTCCTGCCCAGTGCCATTAGTACAGTGTCTGTGTTTTTTTTTTATTTTTTTGGTTTTTTTTTAAGCACTGATCACTGGATTGGTGTCACTGGGGATGTCAGTGATACCAAGTCAGTTCTTCCCAGTGTCAAAATGCTCGCCGCAGTCCCGCTATAAGTCACTGATTGCCGCCATAAGTTGCTGATCGCCGCCATTATTAGTATAAAAAAAAATTCCAGTATCTATATCGACATTTGTAAATGCTATAACTTTCACATAAACCAATAAATTGACGTGTTGGGATTTTTTTTAGCAAAGACATGTCGCAGAATACATTTTGGCCTACATTTATGATGAAATTAGATTTTTTAAAAAAAAAAATTTTGCTGGACATGTTTAATGGCAAAAAGTTCAAAATATTGTTTTTTTATTCTCAAAATTGTCAGTCTTTTTTTTTTTTTTATAGCTATAAAAAAAAAATAAAAACCGCACAGGTGATCAAATACCACTGAAAAAGTTCAATTTGTGGGGAAAAAAGGACATAAATTTCATTTGAATGCAGCGTTGCATGACCATGCAATTTTCAGTTAAAGTAACACAAACCGCTTCTTTAACCGCTTCCTTGACCGCCCTATAGCAGAAATATTGCTACAGGGCAGCATGGGTGCACAAAAAAATCACGTGCGTATATACATGATTCGGTCTCCTGTGGTTTTCACGCCCCTCCCAGATAGCATCAGATTGCAGTAATCACATTTAAACCCCTTGATTGCCAGAAACACGCTCATACAAAATAAACCTCCATTGCTAGTATAGTGTCTGAACGGATCAAATATCTTTGATCAGATCAGCACTATACCAGCGTTCACATTTAGTATTGTGTCCCCAAAAACAGCATTTAGCGGGATCAGCCCCAGCACCTGCGTCTAGCCCTTATGCTTAGCCCCCCCCCCCCCCTCCTCCAACAAGTGCAGTGTCAGTAGGTCACTGTCACTTGATACATTGCACACAAAACCGCAGTGTTCGCAGAATCAGACCTGATCTCTGTTAGCACTTCCCAGTAAATTTTGATGACTCTCATATGCAGCAGAGTGCCAGTACTAGTGCTGCTCTCTCTTTTGGTAAACAGGCGAGCACCAGTGGCCTAGTACGTCCTGGTCTTTCACATACCAGCACTGCAGTATCACTAGGTGACGTGGCGAGTCCCATAAATGCAGTACAAGCTGGTGCGGGGGGCGAGCACAAATAGTGTCCTGCAGCCTCCAAGAATTTGCACACAGGCCTGTAGAGCCCCTAGTGTCTTTCCAGATGTGCTTGCAAATCCTGATTGGTAGCCTACAGATTCTGCAGCACCTGTACTTCCCCAATTCACCGCCCAACCTAGAATTCAGTTGGAAATAGCAAATTTAACTCCCCTTGATTTTATGGAGCTGTTTTTCCACAGAAGATTTGTACAATTTTATTGTGGGCCAAAGCAATTTATATGCTCAACAATATATCGTCGCAAACCCAAATTCAAAGCTTGCCAGACCATTCGCATGGAAACCCATTACGGTTTCCGAATTTAAAACTTTTTTTGGGCCTAACCTTCAACATGGGCATTACAAAAATGAATTGCGGTCGTATTGGTCCACAGACCTGATTCATCATATGCCCCGTGTTCTCTGCTGCAATGACAAGGCATAGATATGAGACGATAATGTGCTTCATGCATTTCAGTGATAACACTCTGTCATCCTCTGGGTGACCCTGAACATGACCGGCTCCACACAATTCGGCCCCTCGTAAATCACCTTAACTAAAAATTTGCAGATGTCTATACTCCCCAGCAAAACATCTGCGTTGATGAGTCCATCATTAATTTTTCTGGCCACCTTGCATTCAAACAATTTCTCCCCAGCAAGCGTGCCAGATATGGGGTGAAGATGTATAACACATGTGAAAGGGCAACAGGCTATACATATAAGTTTTGGATTTATGAGGGAAAAGATAGTCACGTGGAGCCCCCCGGATGCCCAGACTACATGGGCAGCAGTGGCAAGATAGTTTGGGACTTGGTGTCATCATTTCTCCATATGGGGTATCACTTACACGTGGAAATTTTTTATTCAAGCGTGCCACTATTTAGACATTTGTACAATCTTGGAACTGGTGCATGTGGCACTGTGCGACCTAATGTGTGCCCACCATTAGAAGTGGGTGGATGCAGGGCGGTATATTCTAATGTTGGGCATAGCACACACTTTTTCTGGCAGAGATTTATTCTTTTTTTTTCCATTCAGCCCACAGGCTGCATAAAAAAAAAAACATAGCATACATACCCAACAAGGACCAGCGACATACTGGAACATCACTGGATTTGAATGGTTATACCAGGATGATGCCTACAGCTGCAGGCATCATTCTGGTATCGTTTTTTTCAGCCGGCGATCGGCTTTTATGTAACAGCAATCCTAGTGGCTAATTAACTTCAGGATTTCTTTTACAAGCAGCGGGAGACGATGCTCCCCTCCCCCACTGTCTTCCACAGCCTTCTTGGGCAGTCCCGTGCCAACGGGGGGAACCTGAGAATGCAGCCAGTGTTTCTGCCAGCTGACTCTACAGCTGATTGGAGACTGGAATGGTGCCAATCATTTCTATAGTCTATGAAAGCAGAAGCTACAAGCATTTCATCATTTCAATTTCGCAGGCTATTTGTAAATTGGCAAAGCATCTGATCACACGATCTGGTGGTGAGATTAGATAATGTAACAGCAGAGGAGATATCTAGAGTCTGATAGACCCCAGATTTCTCAGAATATATGACAATTCCCATTGAAGTTATAGGGGATATTTGCATTCCCTGCGATAGCATTAAAAGTGATAAAAAAAAAATGTAGGGAACAGTGTAAAAATAATTTTAAAAAAAATTTAAAAAAAAACAAAAAAAACACCCTCGCCCCCCCCCCTTCCCCGCACGCATGCGTTTACCCTGCAACAGTGGTTGCACCATGCATGTGAGGTATCGCCGTGAATGTCAGATCAAGAGCAGTAATTCTAGCACCAGACCTCCTCTGTAAAGCTAAAATGCCTATGTATGCAGTTTGTTGCCATTGCACGGGACATGCACAGTTTTAAAGCATGTCATGTTTGGTATTTATTTACTCAGCATACCATCATCTTTTATATTTTATCAAATTAATTGACCAATAGATTGAGTTCTTGTGCATTAAAAGTAAAAAAAAAAAAAAAGTTTTTTTTAAAAAAAAATTTGCATTTGAAAAATTGCTGCACGAGTACTATGTGACATAAAAAATTGCAGCACCCAGGGGGCATGGCCTGCAGCTGGCAGAGATGGTCACATAGAGGAAGTGCTCCGGGGAACCAACAGCTTCCTCTGCACACTGCAGTGACGGGGGGCAGCAGTGACTAATATTACTGCCGCAGCTAGCTTTCGATCAGTGGGGGGGAACCTCACTAGACACATGGGGAAAAGAAAAATCAAAGAGGGACCCTGTAAATTAATGGAGTTCTTCACTCCGGCAGGAGTCCCTTCCTCCCAATATGGTGCTGGCTCCAGCGCCCGATCAGCTTCACAGTCCCCTGCAGAAGAGGAGAGACAAGATTTCTCCTGTACAGCAGCACAATTGAAAGGGCACAGCAGGCAGCACTCATGTGAGTAGCCCTCTAAAGTCTAAACAAA